GTTAGGCTTTTTCAGTGATTTGGAATCACTTACCATACCATATCGGTCCATGTTTTGTGCTCAAATATTCACATCTATCATTCCTTCCATGCCTTGAGGAAGTCTCCTTCTATGCCTTGGAATGGAGCATTGTGCATGCCTTGTGTTTAAGTCTTTGGGATGCCGTGTGTGTGGGTTTTGGGGCTCATTCTAGCATGCCATGGCACTGATTTTGTTGGTCTAATGTCCATCTTTGCCTTCTTTCGGTATGCTTGAGAATTAGCCTTCATGCCTTAGTCTTAGGCTCATTAGTTTGCATGCTTATTTTGCATGATTGGCATCATCATTTTAGTGCACTTAGGCCACTGTTTTGGGGTAGGCTGAGGCCTCCTCATTTCAATATAAGTCCATCTTCGCATACTTTGCATGTTTGGCATGTTACATTGTATTGGTTGCATGCTTACATTGCATTACATTTGCATGTTTGCATGTTGTTTAGCTAGTTGCATTGCATGGTTGGACATTGCATGCTTGCATGATAGATTGCATTGCATTTGACATGTATTGCATCTTAGCCTTATGTTGCATAACTTGAGCCATGTTTGTATACTTGCATTACATTGTTTAGCTTGGGGTGTCAAGCCAAACTTGAGGGGTGAGAATTGTTCATACTTCAAGTGATGCAACATTACTCAACCCTCGGTCGCCGAGGCCCTTGACTCTAACATGATGGGGTCTTGGTATTCATATGTGTGTTGCATGCATTTTCATTGAATGGCAAGCTTGACTTCTTAGGCCATCATGCACAATTGATGGCCCGAGGGTTGAGGGTCACGCTCCCTTGAGTCCCTTGCATGATAAGGAGTGTGACCATGCTTACACTTACTTGAAATTCCATGCCATACACTGCCTGCCCTCTGCTGCTGTCAACTGCAGGTTCTGCAGGAAGTTTTAGCCGGCCGGCCACATACAGTGCCGACCGGCCATCCTTTGGTGGCCGATAGCTTTATCAAAGGCCGATTGGCGTTTACTACGGCCGGTGGTCATCCCTCCCAGCTGGTGGTGTTCCACAGTGTGAAAAGAACCTATCCTGAGACTTGTGTAGTTTTCAGGGGAGCTAGGCAGTGTAAACAGAGGCAGCAATGTTATGGCAGCAAATTTCCCGGCAGTCCAAATCGAGCACGCATCATTTGCGCATCCCGAAGCGGGGGCTGTGGCCACCTTCCATTTGCATTTAATTTATTAATTAAATTAGAAGTTTTGTAATAATTAATTTAGTATTATTTATTCGGACTGTAATATTTATTTGAACCCTCCGAGTGAGGGCAATTGTGTAATAAGTGTGCGTGAGTGTGTGTATATCTTCCAACCCCACGTCTTTCTTCCCTTTTATTTACCCACTTATGATGGTAGACTAGGGCATATTTAAATTAGCATACCTTATGCTATGCATGCGTGCATTCATACATTTGTCTTGCATGCACCGGGCTCGATGCATCATTCTAACTGCATTTGTATTTCAATTCCAAATTGAATACGTGATTAGTTGTAGCATTTCACATGTCATTATAGATTAGCCGAGCCTATCTTAGTCGCATTTTGCATGTGTTGCATTAGCCATTTTAACATGAACTAGGATCATGCATATGATTACTAACTAGTTTTTGTTTTGGCTCAGAGTACTCGGTAAGCATTCATGCTTTAGCATACCACATGCGTGTGAGTGTTGCCATAACAACATGATTACCATGAGGCTAGCTGCTTTAACTGCTCGAATGCCTGTGGATGGAGGTTGAATTACCTAAATTGGAATAATGCATTAAAACTGTGAGTTTTAAGCCCACTAGATAGTGGCAAAACCATCTTTTCTAAAAGCCAACTCGAGGGTGGCAAAACCTGCATTTTAGTTTACTTGCGAGTAACAGACCATCTTCAAAACGAACATGCAATGTTTTGTTCCAATTTAGGCGATTTGGTCTATACTTGTTTGCTGTGCGCATAACATAGTAATTCTAGGCTGATAAATGGAATAAGAACACATAACGTTTTCAAAAACGGATATCACGGTTAGTAGAGGCCGATCTTCGGATCGGTCGAGAGGGGTGCTCATAGCTGACCTTCCCCGATCGTACCCAAGCTCCCGAGTCGAGGCAACTTTGGTGATGACGGACATGTTGCCTTTGGCACCGAGTTAGGGTTTCCTAAATTTCCCAAAACAAAATATTTAGGTGGCGACTCTGTATCTGGCAAAGCAGTCCATGTTTGGCACTTCTTTTTCAAAATCTGTTTTCTCAAAACGATTTGCCGGATTTGGACTCTTTGGTTCAAATTTAGAACCGTGACATAAATTGAGTCCGAACTGTAGCGCGATGGCCTCACGCGGGCGCGTCTACACCATCATGTGTGCAAAACGCTGTCTTGGGAATATTTGGCTCTTGCACCCTAATTTGATGATATCCAGAACAAAGATCTAACTTAGAAAATATAGTCGCACCATGTAACTGATCAAGTAGCTCTTCTACCACTAGAATAGGGAAGCGATCTTTGATTGTAATTTTATGAAGTGCATGATAATCAACACACATACGCCAGGAACCATCGTTTTTGCGAACCAACAAAACTGGAGACAAATATGGACTTGAGCCATGACGAATAAGGCTAGCCTCTCGTAACTCCTGAACCACTTTTTTGATATCATCTTTTTGGAAGTGAGGATACCGGTAAGCACGTACATCACCAGAGTAGACCCAGGTACAAGGGAAATATGATGATCATGAGACCTGACAGGTGGAAGAGTTGTGGGTGTACCAAAAATATCCAAAAATTAAGAAAGAATAGCTGCAACGTCAACATGCACTTTAGAACGTACAATTGGAGGTAGCAGAAAATTAGAATTTAATTGTAAAAGGACCTCGTGGCGCTCACGCTATAAAAGATGTACCAAGCCATTACCCATAAGCATGACGGTAGGAGAACCATCACCAACCAAAGTGAACTCTTGATCTGCGACTTGAAATTTCATGGTTAAATTGCAAAAATCCCAAGCAATTATGCCTAATGAATGTAACCATTATGCTCCCGAAACCACCTCACAACCACTAATAGTCAAAAGAAAATTTTTGGTGGAAACTATATAGCCTTGCAAATTAAGTTGAACATCAGAACACTTACCCAAGCTATTTAAAATCCACCATCAGCCACAATGACTCGCAAAGATTTGTCCCTTTGAATAAAATAACCACACTGTTTAGCAATAGAAGGATGGATAAAATTATGTGTGGAACCAGAGTTGATGAGGACTGTAATAGGTTGATTTTTTAGAGTGCCGCTGATGTGCATTGTTTCAGGTCGAGTTGACCCCATAAGAGCATATAACGAAGTTTCAGAAGTTGGGGGTTCTGGGACACCACCAACTACAGTTTCAGATTCAAAGTCGTCAACTTCGACCTCCAATTCACCTTCCAAGAGAGATAATTGTGGCTTTTGGCATCGATGACTAGGCTTATAAATCTCATCGCAATTAAAACAAAGACCCTTCTCACGTCGTTCCTTCTGTTCAATCCATGACAAATGTTTAACACCAGTAGGTAAGGATGTTAATTGGTTAACAAGCTTAGGTACATAAGATATGTTAGAAGGCTGTGAAGAAGATGGACGAGAAATAGTCTTGGTCATATTATGTGCGATGGTTGCTATAATTGCATCCTCTTGGCCAAGTGCTAATTCAAAGGTCTCTGTTAGACTCATTGGACAAAGCAAACGAACACTAACCCTTATGTCGGCACAAAGTCCAGAAAGAATACTAATTTGATGCAACTCAAGCAAACCTAGAACCATATTAGCAAGTTGCTCAAACGCCGTAAAAAATTCACGAACAGTGCCAATCTGAGACAGTTTGGCTAATGAACTATAAGGATCAATGTGTTGTCGAGAACCAAAACGGGTGCATATGGCTTGAGAAAATTGTTTCCAAGTCAAAACCCCAAGGGACTGTTTAATCTAGCGATACCAAGAAATAGCATCGCCTTGAAGGTGCACTATAGCCAAAGGAACCATCTGTGCGTCTAGAACACCATTAAGTTCTTGATATTGTTCAACTTGAAATAACCACCCTTTAGGATTAGTACCATTAAATTTTTGGAAAATCAATTTGGAGAGTTCGACCCTGAAAATTTGGACCAGCACGCCGATCGTCGTCGTCACGTTGTATAGGTGGATTAAGATTGATGTCAGGTTGGGGAAGGCGAGCTTCACATTGCCTATCCTGCAACAATGCTTGGATATTTTGAAGAATGGTATTATTGGTTTGTCTATCACGTATCGACTCTTGCACATTGGTAGACATCACGTCCATCCTAGTAGTAAGAGTAGCAGCTTGTTCCTCAAGTTCCTAAATAGTCATGTTGATCCTTTGAATGGTAGAGTAGGAAGAGATGAAAGCTCAAAGATCAAATGCTCTGATACCAGACGATGGGGTCTTAGACTTCCTAAATTGATTAGATAGTAATTGAAAAGAAATGGTCTTCCTAATATAATTGGTTTCCTAACACTGTGTGCGAGTCCGTGACTTACTGCTATAGGGTTGAGTGGCCCTGCTCTGTAGCAACCACCCAAAATGGTGACCTCTGGGGCCTTGGCTCCTTAGGGTCTAGCCCCAGAGGTTACCTCTATGTGGTTAGACCTTTTTTAGTTTCTTGAAAATTGCCCATTTTTAGAATCTTTGTAAAAACAAAAAAATTTCCAAAACATTTTTGCCCCTTTTCAGCACATAATATGTTGTGCCATATTGGGGTCATAGAATCACCAATTGCTCTTGGGCTTTGAAAAACAATACCAAACAGGCATGTAATCCCTTGAAAGTTCCTAAAGATGCCACCATTTTCTGAATTGAATTGGGTTCCCAAATGGGGCAACCGTAGAAATTAGTTTGGAGAGCACGTATGCAGTAGTTTCATTGCTTTTTGTTTTCAAGTTTTTCTGAAAGAGAGCATCTTTTGAAACTTAAAATGCTGTTTTTCCAGGAAATAGGGACTTTCTTCATGGATATTGTTAATTCTTCTCACAGCTATGCAACTGGAGGCACGTCAGTCAGCGAGTTCTGGTATATGACTGCCTGACATTTTGAATATAGCATATTGATAAATGAGCTCTGTTCCCCTTACTTTAATCTGCCATTTTCTGGTTACATTTGTATTAGTGACAACTTTTTATGTCAACCCGTTTGCTTGTTTCCTTTAATGCTCATTTTGATCCTGGGTTGTGTTTTCTCCTTTCTCAACCTATGTACAGGTCAGACCCAAAGAGACTAGCAAACACTCTACAAGCTGAGAATGAAGAATCCTGTACAACATATAATATGCTGAAGGTATTCTGATTTTTTATCTTTCAATTGTTGAGGGAGAAAGTGGCAGTTAGATTTGAGTTTATTCTATGACAACATTATTATATTTTATGGACCAAATGGAGTGAATTTTAATTTTAATTTTTTCAACATCTACATGTTATGATAATTTAGAATGGTGGTTGGAAACTTTTTAGATCTTGACTAAGAGAGTTCATACCGACCTCTGTCCAACTTTGGAGTATCATGCATTTTTTTGTCAGTGGCAGGGCACTGCCATCAGTCATTGACCTGAAAGTTTTCATATTATTATGTAAATTATAGTGTTGCTGTATTCGATCATGCATTGACATGCTATATTGTAGGTTTCACGCCACTTGTTTAGATGGACCAAGGAAATGGTATATGCAGATTACTATGAGAGGGCTCTGACGAATGGTGTGCTAAGCATCCAAAGAGGAAGGGAACCTGGAGTGATGATCTACATGCTCCCACAAGGCAAAGGAGCTTCCAAGGCCAGAAGCTACCATGGATGGGGAACAAAGTTCAATACTTTTTGGTGCTGCTATGGGACTGGTGTGGAATTGAAACCTCAATATTTCTTTTCAACAATTTTTTATTATTATTTTTTTAAATTATTTTTGAAATCTCTGGTTGTTTCAAAGAAAATCCAAAGTTTGGCAGAAATTTTTTTAACTGCACCATGAAACCTTAGATTTTCTTTTTCTCTTTTTCTTTTTTCTTTCCTGCAAGTCTCTGTGGTTGTTTCATGAACCATGATATTCCAAATTGTTCAGATATTCTTTTTGAGCTTCTTTGTATGTTTTGTGGTTTGCTATTTATCTTTCATATCCATGACAAATGATTTTATTTCTATATCAGTTGTTGTTTTGATTGTTTGAACTAGCCTAGTGTTCTACCTTTATATCTATTGCAAATGTTTTCCTTGGTGTTCTATCAATTTGATGGTTTATTTTTCCTGGCTTCTTTAGGAATTGAGTCATTCTCAAAGTTGGGAGATTCAATATACTTTGAAGAAGCAGGCAAAGTTCCAGGTCTTTACATCATTCAGTACATATCGAGCTCACTAAATTGGATATCTGGACAGATTTTGCTAAATCAGAAAGTAGAGCCTGCTGTTTCATGGAATCCTCACCTTCACGTGACGTTGACGATTCTTTCACAGGTAACTTTTAACAATGTTAAAACATATCTAGAATATATTATTTTCCATATCTGTTAGGTTTTTATATTTCTATAGGCTTCCTTATGCTGATGGTTTTTTGATAAGCACTCCATATAAATCCTATATGTATTATAATAGTTCAATACAACAATATTATACAGCATTATTCAATATACAGATATTCTCTTCTCTCTCTCTCTCTCTATATATATATACAATTATCTTAACATGGTATCAAAGCTATAAGATCCGGCCCATCTTTTTGGTTCACCGGCGGCTGGCCGATTGGCAACCTTACCTTCGCTGCCAGCTGGAGTCTCAACACATACCGATGTTAATCCCAATCTTCAACAACCAACCAACCAACCATCACCTCTACTGCGGCCATCAAATCTCAATCTTCTACTCTTCAATCTAGATCTAAATCCGGATCAAAATTTATTTTTTTGTGCTGCTGCATTCTCTCTCAGTTCTCTTCCTTTCAACCTCAAATATGTTTCTATCTTAAAACCTATATCATGATGCACCATATGAACCATCTAAACCACCCCTTGGCGCACCACATAAGCCTCCTCTGGCACACCCTGTCATAAGCTGCCCTCAGCGCACTCAGTTATTTGTTGTCATCATTGTTCAGCACCATGTCATAAGTTATGTGTGTGCCACGTCTGCTGGTTCAACATCCATTCCTTTTTAAGCGTCTCCCAATGCCCATTAAATCAATTGCCTCCCAAGGCCCCTCTCACAATAAACACGCCATTCAAAATCACCCCTAGCAGGTCCTTATTGTTTGCCCTACCAGTAGACTCTTCTCAATCGCCCCTCGTAGGCTCTTTCGTTTTCCCTAGCAATGGACTCTTCTCAATTGCCCTTAGTAGACCCTTATCGTTTTCCCTAGCAACAGACTCTTCTCAATTGCCCTTGGCAAGCTCTTTCGATTGCTATACAGTAAACTCTCATTTATTTTTTATTTTGTTCTTTCAAACTCAAGTTAGTTTACCTACTTGAGTTTGAGGGGGGCTATTAAAGCATGTCTAGAATATATTATTTTTCATATTTGTTAGGTTTCATTTGTCTATAGGTTTCCTTATTCTCAAAATTTCTTGATTAGCATTTCATATAAGTCCTATATATAGACCACATATTGTAATAGTTCAATACAACAATATTATACAACATTATTCAATATAGAGATATTCTCTTTTTCCTCTCTCTCTTTTGTCTTCTCTCCCTTTATACAATTATCTTAACAAACAATTAGTATATTAATTTATACCTTAGTTACTAGGATATTAAAGCAAAAAAGGAAGTGCAAACTTAGGTTTGGGCATGCTCTCTCAAAAGGCGGTCATTTTTCACCAACATGAATTAAGGTGCATCTATGCTATGGAAACATAGATATGACTGAAAGTATGTTAAACCAAATGTAGTCCTAATACATAGATATGACTGAAAGTATGTTAAACCAAATGTAGTCCTAATAAAAAGCAATGAACTCGTCACGTGATGGTAGGGGTGCAACTCGGACGGGCTCAACCCGAGCAACCCGAGCCCAGCCCGAGTTTTTTTAGGGCTTGGGCAACTATATCTTGTAATCTGGACGGGCTTGGGCAGATTCTTGATGCCCGAATTACAATTCGGGCCGGGCTTGGGCAGAACCAATGGCCAACCCGAGCAACCCGAACCCGAATTGAATTTAATATATTATATAAATTATATAATATATATAAATTAAGTAAAAGAGTTAGTCTTAATTTTTATTTTTTATTTTTTTTTTTAGTCTTAATTTTTATTTTTATTTATTTTTTTTGGTTAGTCTTCTATTAAGTAAAAGAGTTAGTCTTAATTTTTATTTTTATTTATTTTTTTTGGTTAGTCTTCTATTAAGTAAAAGAGTTAGTCTTAATTTTTATTTTTATTTATTTTTTTTGGTTAGTCTTCTATTAAGTAAAAGAGTTAGTCTTAATTTTTATTTTTTATTTTTTTTTGGTTAGTCTTCTACCATTAGATTAGCATCTTTTATGTCTACCCTTAGATCTACCTACAGGTTTCTGGACTCGGGCAATTCGGGCTAACCCGAGTTCAAAATACAAAGCTTGGGCCGCGCTTGGGCAGCAATGCTCGGGTTCATGGTCGGGCTTGGGCGGGCTTGGGCACTGTCAAATACAATTCGGGTCGGGCTTGGGCAGACCCCCAACCCGACCGAACCCGCCCGAGTTGCACCCCTACGTGATGGTTCTTGCTACTTTCTTGGTAGGGGCACTTACTAATTAGTCATATTAATTAGACTTATTTACTTAATAGTCCTTATTGATAAATTTATCACTGCAAATTTATTCATAAAAAAAAGAGAGATTTGATAAATTTATTAATAGGACTTAATGGGTAATAAGTCCTAAAACTAGGACATGTTGGTAATTTACCCTTTTTGTTATAGGAATTATTTATTCCTCTAGTACTTCATTCAGGGTAAATCACATAGTAACTATATTACATGAAATTTTGAAAATAAATCAAATATCCGTGTTGGAGGACTTTCATTGGACATGTTTTATAAATTTGTATATAACACTAACATATATGTATATATTATGGTATAATTTTTATAAAATGAGTAAAATGCCTTTTTGAGCTTATATATTATATATAACATTACTTTGACTCACATAATGGATTAGAAGTATAATAATATGATCCTTTTTGCCAAGTCTGTGTACTTTTAAATTTGAGGTTTGATGAGTCAGACCTCTAACACCTGCACCTGACACTAATACCCAAGTCCATATAACGTAGCTTAGAAATGGACTTGATAGGTGATTCCAAGCAGAACTAGCTGAATAAAATGGACCATATAGAATTTTCTTTACCACTCTCTTTGTTCCAAAAAGAAGAGGAAACAGAAAAGAAGATATCAGAATTTCACGTTCTTTACAACATGATTGGTCAAATACCAAACTTTTCCAATTTTTGGAATCAAATAGAGAATTGTTAAGATCCTATTTGAGTTAATGTTATTTTATTAGTTCAAGTGCTTGCTCACCTGAGTTATCTGATTCTGGTTTATGCAGGAAGGGCCAGGTCTAACATCAACCTTGTATTTACGTATACCGCTCTGGACATACTCAAATGATGCGAAGGCAGTATTAAATGGTCAGGATTTGTCACTACCAGCTCCAGGTGTGAACTTTGGTCTCTCTCTCTCTCTCTCTAGTCCTTACTCCTTACTGAATTTTGCTCCTACTTTTTCAAGTCCTTTTCTCCCGAGACGTGAATCTTTTCATTTCTTATGACAATTATTCCACATAGATGAAATAAACCTTCAGTTAACAGCAAGTTCCAATTTAACTTCACTTGTTGCAACTTTGAAGCAAAGCATAGAGTTCATATTTTCCTACTTCTGATGCAGGCAACTTCTTATCAGTCACTAGAAAATGGAGCGCTGGTGACAAAATAACTCTTGAACTGCCAATAAGTTTAAGAACCGAGGCCATTGAAGGTATTGCAATGCTCTCATAATATTAGATGACCGATAGGACTCCTAGGCTACAACATGCATGAGATTATATGTATATGTATATATTTATCTATTCTATCTATTCCATTATATAAAGCGCACACTCCATTTGATGTGAATGTCGTCACGCTTTTTGCTTTTTCCAAAATTTTCCTCCACATCTAGTAACTGCTAAATGGTTTTTCTGAGTCATCACACTGCCCAAAATTGCTGTGTTTGCCTCATGCATCAAACTGTGCAAAAAATTAGATTTAAAATTGTGCATGCTCATTGTATTTGCCCACCACTAGTGTGTATATATGCATAGAGAAATTTCTGGAAGCTTTTGTATCGGCAATAATTGAAGAATTATTTTGATAAAACTTCAGATGAACGGCCGGAATATGCTTCTATTCAGGCAATTCTTTATGGGCCCTACCTACTTGCTGGTCTGACCAGTGGAGACTGGGACGTCAAAACAGAGTCATCTTCTTCCCTTTCGGACTGGATAACTCCAATTCCCGCTGCTTACAACTCTCACTTGATTTCTCTTTCCCAAGACTCTGGAAATTCAACATTTGCCCTCACAAACTCGAACCAGTCAATTACAATGGAGAAGTTTCCTGAGCCGGGCACTAATTCTTCCGTGAGAGCCACTTTTAGACTCATCTTAAATGACTCGACATCCTCAGAATTTTCAGAACCGAAAGATGCTGTTGGGAAATCAGTAATGCTTGAACCGTTTGATTTTCCTGGTATGGTTATTTCGCACCAAGGAACAGAAAAAAGCCTTGTAGTTGCAGATTCAGCTGATGGAAGCAGTTCTGTTTTCCGTTTGGTTGCTGGACTAAATGGGAAGCCTGATACAGTTTCAATGGAGTCTGAAAGCAACCAGGGTTGCTTTATGTATAGTGGTGTGGGCTATGAACCTGGTTCAAGCATCAAGCTCAGCTGCAAACCTGAATCATCGGATGCTGAATTTGAACAGGCAACCAGCTTTTCAATGAAAGATGGAATTAGCAACTATCATCCCATCAGTTTTGTGGCAAAAGGGGTGAAAAGGAATTTTCTTCTTACTCCTTTACTTAGCTTAAGGGATGAATCTTATACTCTGTATTTTAATTTTCAATCTTGAAAACATATGGTGGGAGGTAGGGAAGACTGGAATTGCAATGATGGAAAACTACTAATATAATTTCTTCTTATAGCTATCTGTTATCATAATTTTATTTTACTGTAAGATTATGGATGAGATTAATGTCTTGACTTCATGTCATGGGATTAACAATATCATTGAATTGCCTATCCTTCACTATTTTCGACACTTTCATTTTTTTTATTTTGATTTTGATTTTTGGTTGTGGTGTTTTTAGACTAGAGATAAGAAAACAATCCACCAGGATGAGTCTGAACTTCAATTCCTATTAAATTAGGTCTTTCATAGCTAATTTTGTCCCAAAGTTGAGTTTAACACATGCTAAATCTTCTGTTTGATTGCTGGATTATTTTTTTATGGGATTAGATACGAAGAGATTATTAATAGGATTATGAGTGATAAGCTATACCGTGAGATTAGATGGGGTGAAAGATTGGATATATGATAGGATTATGAGAGATAAGTTATGCCATGTGATAATAGATGGGATAAATGATTGGATCGAAAGAGTGAGATATTATATTTTATTAGAATGAAATAAAAATATATAATTATTTTTTATTGTTGGATGAAGAAAAAAAATAATTCAGAGAGGCATCATTCTTCTGATATCACATTACCTATGATATTATTTAATCCTCCAATTTTCCTCTATTTAATCTTCCATACTAGTATTAAAATTATCTAGATCTAGAGTTTAGTACCATGGAAAACAAACACAGAATTGAATTATCCGGTGAGATCTATATGCTCACCACCTCCAATCTCTTTCTCCTTATCCTTATCCTGCAATCCAACACCGGACTAGTAATTCAGTGAACTCCACAAGTTTCCTCCACTTTCAATCCCACTAATAGTGAGGAAAACAAACATTGAGTTACTACCATTCAGTATGATATCATTCACATAAATTGGAAGAAGAATAGTAGCTCAACCTGATTGGGAAAAAAAAATTGTGTCTTCCTCATTATTAACAAAACCAAGAGGCTGCAGAAATGTGGAGAAGATAGAATCAATATACCCAGGTGGCTGTGTCACATAAACATCCTGAGTAATTACACCATGCAAGAAAGCATTTTAGACATCCAATTGCTTCAGAGAAAATTGATGTTGAAGAGCAAAAGTGAGAGACGTCCTAATAGTTAGTTACTTCACAATTGGACTAGAAGTATTTTGTAAAATCAATCTATGCAATCTGCTTATTCCTTAGATAGTGGGAATGAATTCTATTACTTGATTGACCTTGACAGATGTGTACCATACCGAACAAGCAATATGCTGATATGCTTAATGTACCACCAGCCAAGGCAGCTCGACCAGACACAGTATGAGGGATACACCTTTGCCTTAGACAGAAGAAGAACGGATGAAGGAAAGGAGCTTTATACTATTTCTGTTCTACTATTTTTATCAAATTAAGCAACAAAAAGAGAACAATGAGAAGTTAGGCAACGAAGAAGATAGATAGAATTTACCTTGTTTATTATGTTAGTTTGAAAGTCAATTTAGAGTACACATCTTACATATACAAACAAAACCATAAAGTCATCATAGTCTTTCCTAACATTATTACATTGTAGAAAATTAACACACCAATACAGTCAAAATTTTGCATCTTTCTACCAAAGGCTATAAACCTAGATATAGGCTTGGACAAAAGTTCTATCAAAAATAAATACAAGATCAAAAAAGTCTTGAGAAAATAAAAACAACCAAATAGAGTGTTTTTTAACCTTAAACACCCATTGACAACCTATAGTATAGACATTAGAGAAGGAGGTGAATAGATACCAATTTCCTTGAGCAAGCAAAACATCATATTCCTCTTGCACGCTAGCCCTTCAGAATGAATGCTTACAGCCTTCTGCAATCTCCAATGCACTAGGCATATAATACATGTTAGTTAAAATGCCTAGTGTGATTCATTTTTTTCAATTCCAATGCACTAGGCATATAATTAGGCATTTTGGCTTAACTCATATTCACTAGCTACATGTAGCTAGCGTTCGACGCTAGGCAAAATGTATTCAATCATTAGGATCATTTCCCTCCACCTTTGTTGTTGACGTGGCATTCTATTAAATTACTAGTATTTGGATAAATAGTTAAAATAAAGAGTATGGTTGGAGTAAAAACATAAAACAGTTAATAGGCAAAATAAAATATATACTTTATAGTAATATTTAGATAGGTAAAATGCTTACTACCGTTGGAGATGCTCTAAAATAGGGTTGATGTACTTGAGCTGGTAAATATGTATATATAGATATTACTAAGCCGGTTGCACATGTTAACCTCAAAACAATGTGTTACAGTTTTATCCATTAAGAAAATATTAGATATATATTTTTGGTACAATTTTTTATAAATTGAAAATTAATAATCAGAAAATAGATATCAACAACACTATTTTCTCCATTTTTAAATAGTCAATTTTTTTTTTTTAAATTTGTTTAAATTACTTCTACTTAATAAATTGTAAACAGAAGTTGTAAAATAATTTTATACAAATTCTCAAAATTTAAAAAATAAAATTATTATAACCTTCTTATTTAATGCATCCTTAAGTACCCATCCTGACAATATATATATACTAGAAAAAAATTGCACGGGACACTATTGCAATAAATTTATGTTTTACAAATATAATAATTTTTGTAGTAAATTTAAATTTCACAGCTACAATAAAAAATTTATAAAGGGAAAAAAAATTGTTAATAATGAAGTGTCAATGACATTTTTTAAATTATGAAAACAATGATAGATTGTATTTTTATTGAAAATGAAATAGCCAGAAGAAGTTATACTGTTCTATATATAAATTTGTATAAAATTCTATTGGAAAAAGAAAAATCCCAAGGTTTGAATCATGAAACAAAATAAATTCTGAATTTTTAATTTCATCAATTTAAATTCTAAATTTTTGGTTTCTTTTCAATCTAAACTATTTGTTTATTTTTGTTAAATAAAAAGGACAAACAAAAAAAAATTATATTTAGTCATTAAACTCAACTTAAGTGTATAGAAAATATCTAAAATATAATTTATGTGTAATTTAAAGACTAATATATATATATATATATATATTTCATTTATTTTACTTAACAAAAATAAGAAAATGATTTGGATTGAAAGGAAATCAAAAGTTTTTGGTTTAAATTGACAAAATTAAAAATTCAGAATATATTTTGTTACAAGGTTCAACCTCTAGGTTTTTTTATTTTTTATTGATTTATTATTATAATTTTTCCAATTCTATTTGTATATCATTACTCTCAAATAAGAATTGGAGATTATTGCATTATGTTTGATTAGGATGCCCTAAAATTTTTTTAATTAGTTTTCACTATCAATTGGATAGAAAGAAAATAATATTTAAAGTGGCATAAAAGTGTAATAACCCGACTCTCGCCTATGTTTCTGACATACTTTTAGTCCCTGCATCTGTACCTTTATATGCTTATTGTGGAACTCCAAGTGGAATTAGGTTTAATTAAGTGAAATTTATGATTATAGATTTATATCTGTTTAATAAGAAAACATATCTGTCACAATAAAAATGTTTGGATCAGGAATTGAAAGCCTTAGGAGATCAATAATTCAAAATTAATTTTATATTTAAGATCAGTATAATTTTTAAGTCATGATAAGTATTTTTGTGAAATTTCAATTATGAATGATTAAACTGATTAAGTTTTGTCTTATTTAATTTATATATATATATATATATATGCCTTAGCCATTTGACTTATGAGCCTTAAAAACAAAATATCTCCTGTGAGGGTTAGAAAAGAGGAAGTAGGGAGAAGAAAAAAGAGAAGTCTTTCAAGGACGGAATTGGGAAAATTTGGAGAGTTGTGGCGAATTTAATTCAAGGTAAGACCTCTCTTTTCGAATAAAGAAGGAATTCCTCTAAATTATTGGGCTAAATGATTAACGGAATTGTTACCTTTTGTGTTGAATTGATTTGGAGTTATGTTGAGTGAGAATTTCATCTTGCTTCTTCAATTATCAAACTTGAACCCATCTATATGGATATATGGTTGCTTATAGGTGTATGTGTGTGTATGTTGTGTGTGTGTAAGGAATTGGAAGTATTGTGGGTCATGTTCATAAGTTTTAAAGATCAAAGATCCAAGTTATGTTATGATTGATATATGTTATGAGATCTATGTACATGATTTTGAGCCATACTTCATCAATTAAAGGACCTATTTGAGCCTTAAGAATACTCATCAAAAAAATTGGATTTTTGCTGAATTTTCGAACTGCAATCTATGCAGATTGCCGCACATGCGGGGCTTATGGCCGCACGTGCGGGAAGCCTTGCCGCACGTGCGGGGCTGGCAGCCGCATGTGCGGCCCATGTTGCAAAAATTCGTTCGCTCTGTTTTGCGTGCTTAACCCTCTGGTATTTTTGAAATTTATGTTTGATGTCCCTAAGATGCCTGTAAATTCGTTCGAAGTAAAATGATGCAAGAACTAACGAAAGAAAGAACAAGAACTAATATATAAGTTATGCATATGTGTAGGTCATAACTCGGGAGGGTCAAGTGCTCCGCTTTAGCACTGTGAGTAGTAGTACTGTGGTCGTACATTTAATTATCGTTAATGATTCTCATTATTAACATCCCGTTCTCTGCAAGTAATTATGTTAATGTTATGTTGATTGGAAAATCTAAGAGCGTTATTGAGCAGTGTGTTTTGTTTACTGTTGATAATGAATACTAACATCTTGTTATCTGCAAGATAGCTATATTGATTCATGATAAACAAATGGAACGTATGAGCATTATGGAACTACGGTATCTACGTATCTCTGGAATCGTTCAATCTATAAAATGTGCTTACCTTTCGCTAATAATTATCAGTAACGTTCTGTTAAACTTAAATTAACTATGTTAACTCATGTGAATGATGCAACGGTTACCATTAGTACTCTGTTAATTACAGGTCAACTATGTTAACGTATATGAATGATTAAACAAATGTGTATATTTCTGTATGCTTCTGATTAATAGTTAAAATCAACATTCTATTCTCCGTAAGTGAACTACGTCATTTCTGTGTGAATATTAGAGCATATTGTTTGTTGCTAATAGGCCATAGGCCGCTCAGTTATAAGTTATCAAGCGTGGACACCTCTGAAGAATCAGAAT